ATCCCCTTCTCCATGTAAAATTTCACGATGTTCGAGCCATAACTGCGTCCAGAAAAACCGACAAAAATTTAGTTTTTGGTCCATTTCATCCCCTAAATATTAACCGATCTTTACCAAAAACAATAGGGGTCTTCATTGGCCAGAACCCATCCTACATGCAAAATTTCGTGAAGATTGGTCCATAACTGTGGCCTGTATGGTGTTTACAAATTATAATGGACAGACGGACGGACACACATTTCTAGATCGACTCAGCTAGTCGTGATTTGACTATCGGTATACTTAAAGGTGGGTCTAGGACAAATATTTCGCGGAGTTACAAACTTTTGGGTCTGACAAAGCTATAATACCCTGACAACATAGTTGTGTAGGGTATAAAAAGGGAAATTTAAAAATATTTCTAAAAACAATCGATATTATTTTCACAAATCAAACAATTGGTCTGTTCCAGTACTTTTTCAATTGTAAAGCTAGTAAAAGGAGAACATTTCAAAACCGCTCTCAGAGTACCAAATAATTTGAAAAGTCCGGGAACGAAAATCTAGTAAATATGCCAAAATTAGGCAATACTTAAAAATCAACATAACTGCCAATCAGAAGTAGGCATTCCTGTTTACCATTTTTACTCGGCAAAATCTAGTAAATATGCCAAAATTAGATGGCAATACTTCAAAATCAACATAACTGCCAATCAGAAGTAGGCATTCCTGTTTACCATTTTTACTCGGCAAAATTTCTCGAGTAAAAAGTTTACAAAGAGAACGCCATTTTGTTTTGTGTTCTCTTAAATTTGATTCAATGTTTTACCACTTGTGTAGGTTCAGGAACGGTTTTCGAGTAAAAAGTTCCAAAACTTGTAAATTTAGTAGATTCTTATAGGTTCTGGAACGGAACTAATGAATGTGTTTCGTTAGAAATTCGAGTAAATAATTATGAAAATAATCGTAAGCATATCTACGTAGAGGGAGGGAATTTAGATGGTTTTCTTTTTATAAACAAAATAGCGAAATTTTAGAATTAATATAATTTATTTTTTGTAAATACTAAAATTAATTGAAAATTATTTTCCATATAATTTATTTATTTCATTTACAGGGATCTAAGTATAAATATATGTGTATGTACGTATATATGGATGTGTGTGTGTGTGTGAGCGAGAGAGTGTCACTGTGATGCCTAATGATAAATGAATGTGGTGTAATGTAATTTTGTGGGTGTTTATATATATAAATTTGTATGTTTTACCTTACATGTTTTATTTTATTTTTTCTTAACTAAAGCACTTGGTAGGAATTATGATCAATGATTTATACATTAAACAAAAATAAAAACACTCAGTATATGTATAAGGATAAATACATAAATTCAATATTCAATTTTGTTTTTATAATTAAATATATGTTACTTAAATTAAGAGAGAGGAAAAACTAGATATTTTATTGTTGTTATAATATATAGTTTGGGGGGAAGGGTGTTATTTTGGTTTAAACATAGAGGAGGGGCGGAATATAAATGCTTTCTTTTTTGTCATTTTTGGTTTGTTCTGTAAGATTTGTTGTCGTTTTTGTTTTTTTTTTTTTTTAATTGTAATACTTTTTTAATTGTAAAGTGTTAGGGGGACTGGGATTGTTATCTGTAAAGAAATCCATTAGATGCATTGTTTTAATTGAAAATTAAATATCATTTTTATTTGTGTTAATTTGTTTAAATATTTCTTATTAAATGCCTTCAATTGGATTGGTTTCGTCGCGTTTTGTTTGTATTTTTCGTGTTCTTCTTTTTTTCTGTTTTTTGCATCAACAAATATTTGCTTTCCTTTGCAAAATTGCAATTAACATTTCAAATATACTATTCACTGGGTAATGAAATTAGTCTCAAAACAAATTACTTATAACAATGGGAGGGATTTACAAAATTCTTCGAAAGAAAAAAAAAATCATCATATGAAAATTCAATGCTTACTTTTTGTTATTGTTTATGGTATGAATTGTATTAAATGTTGTTTAGCCTTAACTAATTTCGTTTCATTTCATTTATATTCTTGTTTGTAGAAATTAGAATTCGATTTTGTTTCTTAGTTAAATTAATTTACATATTTCGATTTCTTTCTTTAGATGTAGATGTATATATTTTTGTATGTGTGGTATTACAATAATAATATAAATTGTTTGTTAATATTTATTTTATATATGTATATCTACTATGTATATATAACTTTTTTTATTATTATTCTCTTTTTAATTTAGAAAAAAAAATGTCATACAATTCATAGAATGGCGTGGTTAGGGAATACAAATATAAATACAAACAATATATCATTCTTACAAAATGTCATTGTAATACAATTAACAACAACGAAACAAAGCAAATATATATATGTAAATACCAAAAAAGTGGAAACAAAATATAACAGCATTTTTTGTATGTATTTGCCTAATTGTCTGCCTTTTCAATTATTTCATTTTTATCGAGCCTTTGTTTAATTTAATTTCATATCCTATTGTACACAAATTGCTAAATCGAAAATATGGTATTTTTGAGAGAGACTACCTTAATCTGCGAATATCGTTTATATATTACATTTATTTTGTCTATAAAACGATTTAACATCTTTTGAAAGAATAACACCTGTATATAAATTCACAAAACGGAAACATATGCCTTATACCGTTCTCATCCTGTCGAAACTGTTATACTATGCGAACTTTGTATAACAGTTTCGACATGAAACTTTATTGAAATATATAGAAATTCATCTTGTCTAAAATAAGATAATCAGTCGCGGATATGTGGGGGAAGATTCTCGAAGGAATTAACCGTGTATCAGTGATTTCAGAGAATTCTTCTAAATACCAACCATTTTCGGTCCCCTAAAAACATGATCTTTCCAAGGATTGGAAGTCAATGTTGTACAGTTTGCAATATAGTTAACGACTGTATTCAAGCCTTTTTTACACTTAGGAACATGGATGAGTCTTAGTGAGACCGGACATATAACACGGGTAGGGCATTTTTCCTAACTCTTGATGACAATATCCAGAGTCTATTAAGACAGGTCAATTCACTTATCGATTTAATTGAGTCCTAGTTGAAACCGTACATATAACACGAGTAGGGCATTTTTCCTAACTCTTGATGACAATATCCAGAGTCTATTAAGACAGGTCAATTCACTTATCGATTTAATTGAAGAAATATTATCTTTCTGTCTTTGCCAGGAAAGCATCCTACGATAATTCTCCTCTCACTCCCCAGTTAAATTGTCGCACACGAAAAAGGATTTTATTTGTTGTTTATAAGGAATTGTGAAATGATCTATCTTGATCCACAAAGAAGCCCCTAGTACAGTTAAATTGTGAATCCAAACATTTTAGTGAAAATATAGTGTCAAGTCAAATGAGTCTTGACAGGCTATTGTAAATAAAAATGAAATCAAATTAATGTCTTATAAATGGCTTAAAGTCGAGCCATTTTGAGTTGTAGAAATAACGTGATTACATGGCCTTATTTCTAAGAAAGACCCTTGGGGTTCTACCACATCATAGTACAATCTACCAACGCATAGAAATGGCTATAAAATACAATTCAAATGATGTACATAACTATTTATAACCAATTACGGAATCGCATATAAATTCACGGGGTCTAATCCCAAATTCTTTGGAAGGTTATAATGTTATCGTATATGAATAGGTGCAGAAATCATTTCACAAAGGAGACAACAAACGAACTCCTAGTACAGCTAAGAAAGAGAACCTAATCATTTCCTTATGCGAGACGAAGGACGAGACGCTACCGCTTCATCAGCCATTGAAGAAATACAATGTTTTTATTGACAATATAATTTCTGATGTATTTTTCATACAGTTATGAATTCAAATTGCTAAGATTTCCTTACTTCGTTTCACAATAGAATGCTAAAAAGTCCTTAGGCTTTATAAAGAATTCTACATCCTAAAAAGTCTAACAATTCGATACAGATCATTTTTGTTTCAAAAATTTTTCAAAATTAATATAAACAAAGGCCGAACAAAATCAATGGATTTTAGAAGGTTCTTTACAAAATAACAACAATTTTCGGATGTTTGATATTGAATCACTTAAAATATATAAAAATTGAATACAACTGAACTTTGTGGGATTATTTGATTGTGTGACTATGGCCTGGTGATTTATTAGTTTTACTTATACAAAATAGCTGCATTGTGATTTTATTTATTATAAAAAATTTAAAATAGCTATTATTTGAAAAAAAAAGCTTTTGTGTTGTTTGTTTTGTTCGCAGAGAATCTCTGCTCTCAAGGTTTGCTGTTATCATTGTAATATTCTTTTGCTTATTTTAAAAATCTCCGTTTAAAGCAAACCTCTGTGATTTGTCAATTATTTTATACATAAAAAGAAATAAATAAATTTTCAATTATTGTTAAGCTTGGTGTATGTTTATTTTGTTAAATATTTATTTGTTGTTGTTTTTTTTATTTTTGGTTCTAGACTGTTATAAAAAATTTTAGCTCAGCTGGGCATTGTGATTTTTTTTATTTTACTTTTCATTTCCATATTTGTAATTTTGTTATATTTGTAAATATACATGTATATTGTTATTATTGTATGCGATTTTTTATTGATTTGGGATCTTTGTTTTTTCATAAGGGAAAAGAAAATAAATAAATTCATCATTTCCATAAAGATTTTGGTATAGCTGGTATAAAAAAATGAACAATAAGGAGGGACCACACTTATGAAATGAAATATTTCCTTAGAATTTGAAAAAAAATAAGACCTAAATAGAAAATTCTAAACTAAAACTAAGACTATTTTGTTTAGTTTTTCTTTTCAGTACACAAAAAGGTAAACATTAGAGCAATTATATACTTTTAATCTAACAAAAAGTTTAAGGAAAATTAAAATAAATGATTACATTTCTATTTAATAAAGAAAATAAGAAAATGTGTTGGTTTTTTTGTTTTTAGAATTATATGTATGTATGTGGTTTTTGTATTTTTTGTTGTTTTGTTTTAGGTAGGCTTATATAAACTTATAGTAATATACCTAAATATTGTATATTTATGAACTTATCCTAATCTTGCACCTCTCTGTAGGGCACCTCAGACGTCACCGAATACGATTCAAAGTAATGATTTAAAAATTCAAATGTTGGCCTCTTCTCCGGCACCGCATCCCAACATTGTAACAGCAAATGATAGATATTATCGGGGAAGTAATGATTCGTTGGCTTGGGCATACGGAAGCCCCTCTCGATATTCTCAATAACTTCACGACTATGCATACCGGGATATGGCACTTGTCCGTATGTAAACAATTCCATTAGCAGTATACCATATGACCAGACATCAGATTTTATTGAAAATTTACCATAGATAATGGCCTCGGGTGCTGTCCATTTGACGGGGAAACGTGAACCCTGTTTCGGGCAGTATTCGTCGTCGGCTATGACACGCGCCAAACCGAAATCACATATTTTCGCAACATTATTCTCGCCGATGAGAACATTACGTGCCGCCAAATCACGATGTATTAACAGTTTCGATTCTAAATATTCCATACCTGAGGCTACTTGTGTTGCTATATAAATGAGATCTTCGAAATGTAAATAGCGACCATCGCCTTCGCGTAAATAATCTAAAAGACTTCCTTTGGACATATATTCCTGTACAATGTAAATTGGTTCTTCCTGAAATGTGAAAAAAAAACAATATTAGTATATTTGTATAAATAATAAAGTTAAAAAAAATAAAAAACAAATTGAAATGTTTAACTATTATGTACAACTCTTTTAAGGGAATAGAGTTGACATAACTAGAAAGAAGATGAAATCATCAAAATGGTCCTGAGTTGTAAAAAAAAATTCTAAAATTATATGCATTAATAGACCATTTAAAAGGTCTTCTGATGTCGTTTTAAAGGACTTGCGTAGAATATAATAACTTCTAAGGCTCGATAAATATTTTACAGGATTAAAGATCTATTATTCCGAATATTTTCTTTCAACTAATACAAGATGTTATAGTAGGTGTTAAGATTGTTATAGAATAAATGTTTTGAGTGCAACTGTCCTGAATAATTTAAATATATTATATACAATGAAAGACCATATAATGACCTAAACTTGTTTTGAATAATATAAGTATATCCAATGTGGTCTAGTAATATATACGAGATATTACATTCGAATGTCCACCTTTAGAAGGGAATACCTTTGATACACAAACTCTTCTAAATATTATATGTTTTCAATAAAAGTTCTTTTAATGGCTTATATTCCAACAAATCGTTTATGATGTTCTCTGGAATACATTTTAAAGCGAATGTGTAAACCAGTAAGGAAAGTAGAAAAGTCGGACTGGGCCGACTATATGATGCCTTTCACCACTTTGGGTATATTTTACATAGTCTCCTAAATGACGTTGCCTTTTCGAAAGAACATTGACATGAAATTGAACGAAAAATATGTAAGAACTTTGGTGCATCTATTAAATCGGACGAAAATACATATGGGAGCCATATGTAAATCTTAACCGATTTTCACGAAACTTAGAACACATCATTATAGGCTCAATTCTGTATGCTATGCCAAATTTCGTTCATATCGAAAGATATTTAGGGACATATATATATCGAAAATATATATGGGAGGTATATATAAATCTAAACCGATTTTCACGAAACTTAGCACACATCATTCTAGGCTTAATTTAGTGTGCTGCACCAAATTTCGTACAAATCGAAAGATATATAGGGACTTTGGTTCACCATTTACATTAAATCGTACGAAAATATATATGGGACCTATATCTAAATCTGAACCAATTTTCACGAAACTTAGCACACATCATTCTAGACATAATTTAGTGTGCTGCACCAAATTTCGTGCAAATCGAAAGATATTTAGGGACTTTGGTGCACCATTTGGGAGCTATATCTAAATATGAGCCGATTTTGACGAAACTTAGAACATATCATTATAGACTCAATTCAGTACGCTGTGCTAAATTTCGTGCAAATCGAAAGATATATAGAGACTTTGGTGTACCATTGACCTTAAATCGGACGAAAATATATATGGGAGCTATATCTAAATTTGAACCGATTTTCCCAATTTCAATAGGGTTTGTCCTTATACCAAATAAATGAGCCGTGCCAAATTTCATCCAAATCGGATGATAAATGCGACCTGTACTTTGTTTATAATTTATCGTGAACAAAAGGACGGACATGCATACATATATTAGTTCTTCTATAAAATCGAATTTGAACATTATGGTTATGCATAGAAGAAAATATTAAAAAGCCATAAATGTATTCTTTCTGTGTATTTCTTTTCATATTGTCATATTAACTGTTATATCTAAAATACATTTATACGGAATTCTATGTATAGAAAACATATCACTTAATTTGATATTTGGGAGACCTATATATTCTTACCATGTGTATAAGACCTATAGATGATATTAATGCATAGAAGACCCTTATTGACAGTCTTCGGAGCATATAAGTTCTATGAGTTTTGCTGTGATATATCCGTTCATAGAAAATTCAAATATGGTCACACGGAAGAATTAAAGAGTTAGAACCCCCATAGAATGTCTAGAACAAGTTCTTACATATATAGTAGAGCCATAGATGGTCTTGTAGACATAGGGGACAAACGTAGGATTTTATGACACAGAAAACGCCTACAGAAAATATTATACACACATTCCGTCTCTTCTGTATGCGATAAGAGGTGATGTATGAAAAATAAGTCCCTGGTAGTGGTAAGCTAATATGTGAAAGGAATAACATTCTGACCTGCCAAACGCGGACCTGAGAATTGAACAGGGTGTCTGTTCCAGTGGATAATATTGAATGTTCTCATTAGCTAATTATACCCCTATGGACAAATGTATAAAAAAAACGATTAAAAATGACGTTAAGCCGAATTTTTATATCTTCCACCATAAGGTGGACATTTAAAACATATTTGATTTGTTTGAAGTACGGCTCTCTTATATAGCATTTTAGGCATTCAATTAAAGATGTCGGTTTCCCTCAAACTTTCGATGTTAAATTATTATTTTTGTCCTTTTTTGTTCGCAACCTATGACCTATAAAAAACTAACTTCCTTTGAAAAGTAAAAACCAAGGAAACCAACAATGATACTTTTTTTAATACTACTTAGCACTTAATAGTTCAAACAATTTGTGGCTGAAATAGAGTCACATGCAAAAGAAACTTTTTAATTCCCACCTAAATACCCAGTAGTGACACAGTTGACTGCCAGAGCAGTAGACAAACGAACCAACACTCTATTAAACTATTAGATGAACAAACCAAACGAAAGAAAAGCAAAAACAAAACTTTTTCTTGTGTGTGTGTTTGTGTGAGCGTCACACAATTTCTACAAACCTGCGAACAAACCGCATAAAGTGCAACCAAACGATTATGGCGGAACTTTTTCATAATGGCAGCTTCTTGAAGGAAGGCCTGTGTCGACATGGTACCTTCACGTAGTGTCTTCACAGCCACATCGATACTGTTGCGCCATTTACCATAGTACACTTCACCAAAGTTACCACGGCCCAATTTACGTATCAATTGTATTTCGGAACGGGGTATTTCGTATTTATCGCGTAACTCTGGTCCCAAATCCCACATTTGTGGCTGTGGCTTGGGACAGGGTCGCGATAATATATGGCAGAGACCCAAGGCGTTTTCTGACAAAGAAAAATAAAATCATTAGTAACAGCATTTTGGTAATGTATTTTTTGTATTTTACTTACTGCTATAGGCCATAACTAGAGCTTGTAGGGAGGGGAACGTCTGATTGGTTGCTATGTAATAGCCACCATTATCTAAAGGCTTTATACGATAATGTTTAACATGATAACCTCGACCATCTTCCCAGTCTTTTACGGATAATGAAAAACCATTTGGATTGTGTTCTGAGGGTCGCACCAGGAATGTGCCACGTGGGTTCTCCTCGGCCAGCAGCAGTTTGTCTGCCTCCTTGCGTAGAACATTTTCGAAAAACCAGCTAAAGGCGACCAAAAACAAAATAGATAAATATGAATGTGTTTGTGCGTGGGTATGTTTGAACAGATGCTGTTACTTACTCTTCACTGTTGACACTTCGCTCCTCGGCCACAAAATTCAGCGGTATCAAACCCTCTTGCCGTGTACTCAAATTCACAACACGCCACCAGTCGGATTCTGTGTCGTCAATTACCTCCATACGATCTCCCTTCATAAAGCTCAAATCCGATTCATCACGCGACTTGTAATCATATAAAGCCACAACGACACGTCGTTTGGGAACACCACCAGCCACCACAGCGCCTGGAACACCGGCTGCAGAAAAAGGAAATTTAACACAAAATTAAAAGGAAATTAGTTTAGGAACATTTCATAAGATAATTTATAAAGTTTTGCAGTCAAGAAAGAAATATTTTTTGGCAGGAGGAGGGTGAGGGATGGAAACACAGATGTGAATTTGAAGTCTCATTTGAAAGTGGCTATGTGCAGGTGAATGTTTTCTCATAAGATAGATGAATATTTTGATACGTCTAGTGGCTAGGACATTGGTATAGATGCGAGCAAGAGGAATAAAAATGATATTAGTGAGCATGAGTGTGTGTAAGTATATTTTCGTTACAATTTTGGCACTGACGCTATCTGTCACTCGTGATTTGCTAGAGTTATCCCAGTGAATGTTACAAGTCAGGTTAAATTGTGTAATGGAATGAATGGCAGTTAAATTAAAATTGTTATGAAAATTTCATTAAAAAACGGTGAACGGGGAAAGTGAATTAATTTGTGATTTTCGCAAAGTCTATTTTTCGAAAGCGATGTAGAAAAAAAAAAAAACTCTAATGGGGCATAATTTTAATGAGCATTTATGCTTACATTGTAATTGAATTTGGAAGGCTACGTAGTAAATGTATGATGGAAGGGTTTTCATACATTAAAGACAAATTAAAACCAGTAAGGAAAGTAGTAAAGTCGGACGGGGCCGACTATATGATACCCTTCACCACTTTTGGTATATTCAACAGTAAAATGAAACTGGATCCATAAACATGTTATATAAGAGAGCTATATGTAAATCTGAACCGATTTTCACGAAACTTAACACAGATCATTCTAGACCTAATTTATTACGCTGTGCCAAATTTCGTGCAAATCGAAAGATATATAGGGACTTTAGTGCACCATTCACATTAAATCGGACGAAAATATATATGGGAGCTATATCTAAATCTGGACCGATTCTCGAAACATGGCAGACATCGCTCTAGGCCCAAAACACACTTTGGTGCACCATTTACATGAAACATAATTTTTCAAAATTACTAGGCTCAATTCAGTACGTTATGCCAAATTTGGTACAAATCGAAGGATATATAGGGACTTTGGTGCAACATTTACATAAAATCGGACGAAACTATATATGGGAGCTATATATAAATCTGGACCGATTTTCACGAAACTTGGCAGACATCATTCTAGGCTCAATTCATTACGTTATACTAAACTTCGTGCAAATCGGCAGATATATAGGATCTTTGGTCATTATTTACTTTAAATCGGACGAAAATATATATGGGAGCTATATCTAAATCTGAACCGATTTTTCCCAATTTCAATAGGGTTTGTACTTGGGCCAAACAAATGAGCTGTGCCAAATTTCATCCAAATCGGATTATAAATGCGACCTGTACTTTGTTTACAATTTAACACCAACAGACGGACGGACATGCATAAATCGACTCAGATAGTGATTCTATGCATATTCTCAAAAGGACCCATGGGTCTACCTCGTTTCTTTTTGTCTGTTACATACATATAACAAAGATATTAAAGACACATACATTTACATTATGAGGACCCAAAATGTAGAGAGGACTTATAGGCGGTATTCCATTTATAGAAGAACTGGGTTTCTCCGCGTATAAGATCTATACAAGGTATTTTCCGCATAATCATTTAAACTTCTAGGTCTAGAAGACTTTTATACGGAATTCTATGTATAGAAGTCATATCAACTTAATCGATATTTAGAAGACCTATATACTCATTCTATGTATTGAAGATATTATTTATATATAGAAGATCTGTAGATGGTATACTACGTTCCGATTTATTGACAGTCTTCGTTCCATGAGTTTTTCTGTCGGAAAAACCAACAAAGACTAGTGCATAAAGCCCCCACGAAAGGTTTAAAGACTTAGAACCAAAATAGAATGTGTAGAAGAAGTTCTGGATATGTAACAGAAGGCATTCTAGACATAGTGGACGCACGGAAGATTTTACAACACAGAAAACACCTAGAGAAAATATTCTATAGGCCGGATGATATTTCTTTGGCGACTTTCCTCTTTTCATTGCAACAATATGCGAATGAGACGAGTTCTGGGCCAGCTGTATAATAATACAAAGTTGATAAAGCCTTTGAGTATGGATTCTGAGTCGAGTTTGATGTCAGAATATTTCTTCTCAAATCATTCGAGTCGCAATAAACAAGAGCTGCTGCCGACATTCACATCATCTATTTAACAACCCTGAATAGTGAAACCCTGAGAATAGGTCTCCACGAACAAACACAAACTCTTTAAAATGTCCTCGCTCTAAATGTTTATTTCAGATATATAATTTTTTATTTCGCTCTCTCTCTCTTTCTGTTTTGCAATTTCCATTTCTAAATCAAAGTCAATAGCAAAGCAATAACAGAAAAAACACATACACTCACACCCGAAATGATTTTTTTTCACAGTAAATTTATGTTTGCAACAGCGAATTTTTTCATTTTGTACTGCCGGGCCCCCCCCAAATGAAATCCTGTGTACGTTGCTGACTCACACCCAAGAATAAGGACAAACATAGTAACAGTAACAACAATAATAAGATATGCGAACAAAATCCCAATATGAAACCGACACAATGCAAGGAACCTTGTACAAATACAGATTTATGGGAAACCATTCATTTTGGTGCCAATATTGGTCTGTTTGTGTTGTTCTTGTTGCAGTTGACGTTGCTACATAGATATGTTAATCTTAGACCAGCCTGGCCCAACCCGACCAGTCCGACAACCTAACCAAGCCATGCCAGTTCGTTCGTAAAATTGAATCCTCAGACATAGACGGAAAACTGAAAAAAATAATTAAAATTACGGCATCGTGCAGACGAGCTATCTATAGCCGTAGAGAAACTCTAAAAACCGAATTTTTAATCATAAATGCAAAAAACAACAATGGCTAGACGACAATGAACTAAAAACGCAAATATATACATCCCCAATTCTTGAAACAAAAAAAGGAATATATATATATATATAACACTATGTAAGGGGTTTTTGAATGGCTTCAGTTACTGGCAATAATTATGGTAGAAAAAACTCAATTCTGCATAGATAGTCAATAGTTGTTATTAATATTCACAGTGGCATATACAACCAGTATCTTTCCATACTGGTAAAGATACTGGTTGTAAAGTCAGACTGGGCCGACTATATGATACCCTTCACCACTTGGGGTATGTTGTACATATGTATCCTTACAATTGCATGTCAACGTTCCCTCGAAGGAACATATTCATGTCCTTCTGCAACCTATGATAGATTTAATTACATACGGGCATATTTAGAGTCATACAAGTCTCACGTCTCAATACGTTGTGCAAAATTTCGGGTTAATCGGAGAAACAATAGGTGTTTGGTGCACCATTTATATAAAATCGGATGAATACATATGCATATGTGGGAGCTATATTGAAATCTGAAGCCATTTTCCCGAAAATTTACAAACATCACTCTAGACTTCATTCAGTACGCTATGCCAAATTTCGTGCAAATCCTAGGATATATAGGGTCTTTGGTACACCTTTTACATATAATCGGAAGAAAATATATATAGCAACCTATATAGAAATCTGAAACTTAACTCACATCATACACTTAATTTAGTAGCTATATCGTGCAAATCGAAGGATATATAGGGACTTTGGTGCACTATTTTCAAATCGGACGAAAATATATATTGGCACACATCATTTTAGGAAACTTAACACATGTCGTTCAGTATTCAGTACGCTATGCCAAATTTCATGCAAATCGATATATCTTGTTGATTTGCACGAAAATACAAATCTAAATCTGGGATTTTGTTGCTTAACACATTTACATGAATTCAGTACGCTATGCCAAATTTCATGCAAATCGAATGATGTATAGGGACTTTGTTGCACTCTTTACATAAAATCGGACGAAAATACATATGGGAGCTATATCTAAATCTGAACAGATTCTTTAACACACAATTTCAATTCAGTACGCTATGCCAAATTTCGTGAAAATCGGAGGATATATAGGGACTTTGGTGTACAATTTACCTTAAATCGGACGAAAATAGATATGGGAGCTATATCTAAATCTGGACCGATTTTCTCGAAACTTGGCACACATCATTTTAGGCTCAATTCAGTACGTTATGCCAAATCGAAAGATATATCGATTTGCACGAAATTTGGGATTTTGGTGCACCATTTACATGAAATCGGACGAAACTATATATGGGAGCTATATCTTGCGATTTTCACAAAAAGACATCACTCTAGGCCCAATTCAGTACGTTATACCAAATTTCGTGGAAATCGAAAGATATATAGGGACTTTGGTACACCATTTACATTAAATCAGACGAAAATATATATGGGAGCTATATCTAAATCAGAACCGATTTTTCCCAATTTCAATAGGGTTCGTCTTTGTGCCAAACAAATGAGCTGTGCCAAATTTCATCTAATTCGGATCATAAATGCGACCTGTACTTTGCGGACGGACATGCATAAATCGACTTAAAAAGTGATTCTATGCATATTCTCAAAAGGAACCATGGGTCTATCTCGTTTCCTTTTGCCTGTTACAAACATATGCACAACGACATAATACCCTGTACCACAGTGTGGTGAAGGGTATAATAAAAGCACCAGAGCCTTAAATATATGACGGTGCAAAGGTCTATTATATGTATAAATAGCAGGGTCTCCAATTTATAAAGAAATCTCAATGACGTATTTCTTGGCTCTTGGGGATTATGTTGGTTGGTAATTTTCTCCGAATTTAAATTCAAATTTCCAACTACTCTCCCAATGTGAGTTTATGCTCATCCGGAGAATGAGGCATGAAATGAAACAAAAATCTGGCATTGCACTAAAAATATAACCAATTGGTTGTGGTTTCTCTTTCACTGCTGATAATAACAACGGCCTTTTCGATTACAAACTGTATATGGCTGCCTAACTGTCTGTCCGGTCGCCTGCATGCCTGCCTGCGTTTTGTGCATTTTTAACTGTCGTCATTTGCCCAGTTTTGTTTATCCGTGGTTGTCCTCCACTGCCAATAACAATGGAAAATGAAAACAGAACAAAACTGTAGTGTCTGAATGCAATGTGTTCGGGTGGGTGGGGGTTAGTGAATGGGTAGAGCTGACTAAGTGGGTGGTTGTTTGGTTGAGATTTTTGATTTTGTTGGTTTAGTGAGGGGTCTCGTCGTCTCTAGTTCGACAAGTGGTGGCATGATATGCAATGCTGATTAGGTTTTTTTTTCTGAAACGTGATATTCAGTCTTGAACAATTAAAAGGAAATTAACAAAAACAAAGGTTAGCTGCTGCTGATGGCCCCGGCCGCTATTGCATTGAAACCTAAAAAAACCCGAAATTGGAGGGTTGCTCGATAGAGACGAAGGGTTGGTTGATTTATGAAAGGATGTTCTTTGTGGATTATTTTTTCGTTCTCTTTCGATGATATTGAAACGGCCAAAGGTCATTGGACAGAAAATGGGGGAGTTATCTGTAGAAAACAAAAAATACAACTGTATTGCGTTATGTTGCAGTATATTGAAAATTATTTTTGAAATGTTGCCAAAAACTTTGTTTTCGTGTTAACTATGTTGTGAGCTTAATTTGAATTTGAATAGAGGAGGACGAAGAGGTAGAGATGTTGACACTGAAATGTCAAAGAATTGTATCAAAAAAGATTGATTATTTATGGGTATGCGGGACCCATAAATAAGTTATCAAAATTGTATTCAAGGTTTCAAAGCTGTCATAATATTTTGTTCATATTAAACTATCTCTTTTCAAAACTTTATATCTTAAATATATCCAAATGAAAATATATCCAAATGTTTCCAGAAAAAGTGTAACAGATTTTCAAAATCTAGGAAAACACAAAAATTGAGATTAAAACCAGTAAGGAAAGTAGTAAAGTCGGACGGGGCCGACTATATGATACCCTTCACCACTATGGGTATATTAAACAGGACTATTAACATGAAATTGGATGAAATAATATATGTGATATTTATCTTAATGTGAATCTACCTAGATATATCGACAAAGTATGTAAATCGACTTCAAACAAATATAAATAGGTCATACGTTGGGCTATGTCTGTACTTCTTGAAAACGCAACTACGTAATTCTATGCTCAATTTTGTACGTTGTGCAAAATTTGATGTGAATCTGACTAACATGAGGAGTTTGATGCGAAAATATATATGGAAGCTCCATCCAAATATTAAGCGATTTCAAGCAAACTTGTCATAGGTTAGGTTATACTAATTTCAGAACGTTTTGCTCCTATTGGTGTCTTGGTGCGTCAATTACTTAAAATATGTGAGCTCTATATGTGCGAGCTATACAGAAATCTGGACCGATTTTCTCGAAACTTGGCAGACATCACTCTAGGCCCAATTCAGTACGTTATGCCAAATTTGGTGCAAATGAAAATATATATAGGGACTTTGGGGCACCATTACATGAAATCGGACGAAACTATATATGGGAGCTATATCTAAATCTGAACCGATTTTCGAGAAACTTAACACACATCATTCTAGACCTAATTCAGTACGCTGTGCAAAATTTCGTTCAAATCGAAAGATATATAGGGACTTCGGTGCACCATTTACATTAAATCGGACGAAACTATATGTGGGAGCTATATCTAAATCTGAACCGATTTTCTTGAAACTCAGCACACATCATTATAGGCCTAATTCATTACGCTGTACCGAATTTCGTGCAAATCGAATCATATATAGGGACTTTGGTGCACCATTTACATGAAATCGGACGAAACTATATATGGGAGCTATATCTTAATCTGGACCGATTTTCACGAAACTTTGCAGACGTCATTCAAGGCTTAATTCCGTACGTTATGCCAAATTTCGTGCAAATCGAAAGATATATAGGGACTTTGGGGCACCATTTACATGAAATCGGACGAAATTATATATGGGAGCTATATCTAAATCTGGACCGATTTTCTCGAAACTTGGCAGACATCACTCTAGGCTTAATTCAGTACGTTATGTCAAATTTCGTGCAAATCGAAGGATATATAGGGACTTTGGGGCACCATTTACATGAAATCGGACGAAACTATATATGGGAGCTATATCTAAATCTGGACCGATTTTCACGAAACTTGGCAGACATCATTCTAGACCTAAATGATTAGGCTGTACCAAATTTCGTGCAAATCGAAAGATATATAGGGACCGTTCACATTAAATCGGTTAAATATATATATGGGAGCTATATCTAAATCTGAACCGATTTTTCCCAATTTCAATAGGGTTCGTCCTTGGGCCGAATAAGTGACCTATGCCAAATTTCATCCAATTCGGATCATAAATGCGACCTGTACTTTGTTTACAATTTTACATGGACAGACGGACGGACGGACGGACGGACAGACGGACATGCATAAATCGACTCAGAAAGTGATTCTATGCATATTCTCAAAAGGAACCATGGGTCTAACTCGATTATTTTTGCCTGTTACAAACATATGCACAAAGACAATACCCTGTACCACAGTGTGGTGAAGGGTATAAAAAGGAATTTTAAAAACAAAAAGATTACTTACTTGGTGTTGTACGCGGTCGTATTATGTCCACACCACCCTTAGCACCAATTTTCAATGGACCACGATTTGGATCGGGTGTGTAGCGGGAATCCAGAGAGCCACCATTATTGTGTTTCTGGCCAGTGTTGTTGATGTGTGTTTGGCCAAAGGTATAATCGGATTTTTTATAGCCGGTTGGATAGGCGAGTGCAAGTTCCTGGTCCTGGCGTTTGCTACAGCATTTGTTCCCCATTGTTGTTGTTGTTGTTGTGGTAGTTGTAGGTTTTGTGGTTGTTAGTTATGATTAGTTTTGTGTGTAATAGAAAATTAGTTCGATTTGATTCGAGTAAAAAATAATTGTTGTTGTATTTTTGTCACTTGTTGTTGTTGTTCTTTCTTGTAATAGATTATAAATGCTGTTGATTTTCCTTAGCTGTCAGCTTCGTGTTATTTGAATTATTTTATGTAGAAGGGAAAGCTTAAAGGATAGTTGGAGGACAAGTGGGATAGGAAAGAACGTTGTTACTAAATTTGGCCAAACTAGAAGTTATGTTGTTGCTGTAGTTGTTGTTGTTTCAAGCATTGCCGTAAGCAGCTGAAATCGGGGACAAGGAGCAGAATTGTTGGAGAAATCGATCACTGGTTTCAAAAAGGCTTGACGTTTGCAATTGCAGTTCTTGTTCATTCATTCAAAAGTCCCTGCTTCAGTTTGTGTTCCGGGATTTTGTTCTCCTTTTTGTTGTTGTTGTTTCTTTAGTTTGCCTTTAGTCAAGGCGTTGTTATAAAAAGGATTTTTATTTTGTTTTTGTTATTAATTAATTAAACTATCAGTCAAGTTTTGTTTTTGGGATTCTTTTCTTTTTGTTTTTTTTTCTTTTTGTTTTTGCTTCAGTTAGTGTTCTTTAGAGGACTTGTAGTAGAAAAAAAGGATTTTTGTGGAGGGATTTGCTGTTTTTTTTTTCTTCTTCGTTTTTAATTCGTTTTCTAGTCGAATAATCGCAAAGCGTTTTGTGTTTTTTGGTATCAATTGCACAGTTCGGAAGATAGAATATAGAAAATTCGTCAAATTTTGAAATGACAAAGGCGTGGCATTTCCTCTTTGGCGAATTTGAGGGGGTGTGATGGAAATTGTAAGTGATGCAAAGGTTTGTGACAAAAAGGGATTTCAATTCCTTTTTTTGTGTTGATGATAATCTTTGGTCGTAGCGAGAATGTGAAAATAGACGTTTTTTTATTTTTGTTTCTTTACTGGTCTCGTGTAAACCTTGTGTGATGTTTAAGCTATACAATTAGCAATAAGCTGGATGTCATTCAATTCAACCTTGATTGGTGGCCACCTTTCTTCACACACGTTGGCCCGTACACACCAAACCGCACCACTCAAACGAACGAACACGCACACAGACACACAGAGGGGCCACAACGTGACTTATGACCCACAAACGGAATGGCGATAACACACAATACCTTCCAAGGTGAACTAATACCGCTCGGTTCTTCTCCTCTCACGTAGCGTTGTTGCTGATGTTCGAAAATTATCTACTGCTATTCGTCACTTGATTATTTCGGAATATTACGCTGTGATTCGTTATCTGGGATGCTGATGATGTCATTGCTAAAATATTCCGTTTTTCTTTCGCTTTTGTTGGCAAATGTCCACAAACTGGAAATGGCATCAAATATCAATAAATGTTTTCGTTTCGCCTTTTGACTACTTTTTTTTGTTTGTGTTAGCTGCTTTGATTTGGTCCTTTTCAACTCAACACCTTCTTGTCATCATAGGTGTTGTCGCCGTCGGGTGACAATGGAAATCTGCAAAGAAAAAAAAACAATTTAGTCAAATGGCCATAAAAATGAATAGAATGGAAAAAGAAATCGAATACAATTGTTGAGAGAATAACATAGGAAAATTTATTAGAGACACAAGGTCAAGGAAATAAAAAATAGACAATTTTACAGCCTATTGAAGAAGACGAATACAGTAAAATAGCATATGTTTAAGTCTAGTCTGTGAAAGCAATCGTCGCGTAACCACAATATTTATATAAATTATGTTTTAAACCCACACAATAATGTTAGAAAAATAAAAAATACAATTTTTTAATCCAATTCTTACTACTATTAAATAATATGTATTTTTATAAATCCAATTTTTGCTTTTCTTTTGTGAAAAATGTCTTTAAATATGTTAATTTTAATCAATTAGAAATGGGATGTTTTTTATGCCCCACTGTTACTTCCTTTGAAAAAATAGCTTTTTTGTAAACATCCAACTATATTTTCATTAATTTTTTTCAAATACACCCTTTGCTTCCTTCAAATTCAAATATTTTAAATCCAAATGCATTATTTATAAAACAAATCAATACAACTTAAACTAAAAATCTACAAGTTTTGAAAAAATCGAGCTTTTGTGCTTGAAAAATATAAAAAAGAAAAAACAAAGAAAAATATGTTTTAAAAATATAAAACTGTGCTAGTCCTTGAAAAAATACGCTTCACCACTTTGGCATATTCAACAGATGAATCCTAACAGACGTCGATTTTTTGAAGGACCATTAACATGAAAATGGATGCATAAGCATGTCATTCTGCCACATATACTATATTTTTCATTTGGACAGATATAGGGTTGCTCCTTATGTTATAGTAACTTCAGTACGTAGTGCAATATTTTGTGCCGATTGGACCCACCTTGTTGAAGCATTTATATCCTACTTCTAGGTTATACAAACTTCAGTATGTTTTGCAAAATTTGTGTCAATTTGGCGATAAATCGGACGAAAATATATATGTAGAAGCTATATCAAAATCTGAACCGATCTCAATGAGACTTGGCAGAGATTAACTACAGTTCATTGTACAAAATTGTGTGGCAATTGGACACACAAGTGCACAATTTACATAAAATCGGAAGAAATCTGGACCGATATTCAGGAAACTTAACACACACCATTCTAGACCCAATTCATTACGCTATGCCAAATTTCGTGCAAATCGAAAGATATATAGGGACTTTGGTGCACTATTTACTTTAAATCGGACGAAAATATGTATGGGAGCTATATCTAAATCTGGACCGATTTTCAGGAAACTTAACATACATCATTACCGACCTAATTCAGTACGCTATTCCAAATTTCGTGCAAATCGAAAGATATATAGGGACTTTGGTACACCATTTACATTAATCGGACGATTTTCAGGAAATTTAACACACATCATTCAAGACCTAATTCATAACGCTATGCCAAATTTTGTGCAAATCGTAAGATAAATAGGGACTTTGGTACATCATTTACATAAAATCGGACGAATATATGGGAGCTATATCTAAATCTGGACCGATTTTCAAGAAACTTAACATACATTATTCTAGACCTAATTCAGTACGCTGTTCCAAATTTTGTGAAAATCGAAAGATAAATAGGGACTTTGGTACATCATTTACATTAAATCGGACGAATATATATATCTATATATATATGGGAGCTATATTTAAATCTGGACCGATTTTTACGGAACTTGGCACACATCATTCTAGACTCAATTAATTGAGCTGTTCCAAATTTCGTGCAAATCGAAAGAAATATAGGGAAACAAACATAAAATCGGACGGATATATATATGGGAGCTATATCTAAATCTGAACCGATTTTTTCCAATTTCAATAGGGTTCGTCCTTGGGCCAAATAAGAGACCTATGCCAAATTTCATCCAATTCGGATCATAAATGCGACCTGTACTTTGTTCACAATTTAACATGGACAGACAGACGGACGGACGGGCATGCATAAATCGACTTAAAATGTGATTCTACGCATATTCTCAAAAGTAACCATGTGTCTATCTCGTTTCCTTTTGCCTGTTACAAACATATGCACAAAGACATAGTACCCTGTACCACAGTGTGGTGAAGGGTATAAAAATATTTACTAGTCCTTAACCCTTTTGTGGTCCGATTTTTTTTCGTAAACATAGAACGATTTTCTGTTCAGAGATTTAATTCAACTATCCTAAATAGGATATGAACAAAATTTGACATCGCTACATCCTTGCATTCGGGAGATACAGTACATTCTTTCTGAAAAATAAAAGTCCAATATCAAGAAAACCAAACGCAAAATCGACGGAAAGGCCGTTTTAAATTATTCTCTTTATTTATTTTTACAAGAATCAAAAATAATTCCGATGACAGAATTCGTAAAATTCGAATGCGAAGCGATTTAAATAATTTGGACTGTACACATAAATTAGTACTCTACACGTTTTTCACCTCTTCTCTGTATTGAAAAGCTCATAACTTTACCAAAAATTTGATTTTTTTTAGATTTTTCTATTGATATGTGTCGTGCATAATCAGGTCTTTTTTGAAAAGTTCATGAAAAATATATTTCATAAAAAAGTAAACGTTTGCCGAATCCTTTAAGATATGTTTTATAAAAACAACGCTAGCCCTTTTTTAAATTAATAAAATACTTGTATTTTAACCATGCTTGTGCTGGACATTTTTTAATACATGCTTGGCTATTAAATTAATATATATATATATATATATATTAATATTTTAAAATATATATTTATTTTTTGTTTTACCTTGAAAAAAATATTTAAAAAACTACGTTCTAGTCCGAGGAAAAAAATTAAGCATGTTTCAATCTTAGATTTTTTTTTAATTTACACTTTTGGAAAATAAGTGTGGATTATTTTAAAGCACGCTTGTGTTGGTAATTAAAAAAAACATGGTTGTTGTTTAAAAAAAGTTTGTTGCTTATGGGATACAATTCTTCCAACTCTATCTAAAATAATAACAGATCTAATTATGGTGCTCCAAATTATGCCGTCATTTCCTTCACGAGTTTGACTCCAATCATAGCTCGACTTCGCAGTTTCAGATTTTCAGTTCCAGCTCTGTCAGAAATATGTTTCAACCATTAATCCCGTATCCTTTCACTCTCTCCTACTTCCCAAATTAAAAAAAAAATTATTTAAAGTATTAGATTTTTCTTTCCTCCATCTCAATTATTTTAAGATTTCCATAATAAATGGTCCACACAATAAAATGCCTTGGCATCAGCAGTTTAATGTTCGTTTAAGTTATGCTCCTCTATTGTTTGCTAAAATATTATGTTCCTTCGGCATTTGGCAGGCGCATGACATGCCTGCTGTGTCCTCTGGTCATTTAAATGTGTGCGAGTGTGGCCATAATTAATGCAAATTTGATGATTGTGGAACGTTGGCACTGCCTAGATGTGAGGCAGGGAAAAGTTGTGGGTGGTTTC